TATGTGTTGCTCTCTTCTTCTGCACCCCAGACTGGAATGCTCTATAAAAACGCAGACAGGCCTACCGATCTCATAAGAAATGTTGGAATGTTAAGACATGTTTTGTATAATTTCTAATCTTTTTGTAATTATTTTATTGACTATTTTGTTCTAGTATTGCTGGTTCAATTGAATGTTGAAAAGAAAAAGAAATGGGCTACATTCAATGTCCAAATAGGTGACTTATGGATCCTTTTATTGCTGGTTCAGTGACTGTTTTTCATTGTTTAAAACTTGAGTAATACTAATTCTTCAGAGAGACATGATCAGTTAGTCAACAATAAAATATCCTCATTAATGTTCAAAAATAGTCAAATCCACCTTTAATTTGTGATTTACGAATAATGTCTTTTGACTTGGGTCACAAAGGATTGTGAGTTTTAAAATATGGGTCCCCAGAAAAAAGTTTGGGAAACACAGATTCTGCCACTCAAACCACAAACCCAGTGTTTCAATTAGCGGCTTCAATAAGGATAAGGTCTTTGGTAAACCTGGTCTTGTGGGTAGTTATAAGTATTTATGTTCTATAATTTGATAGTAGGAAGGGGCCTATTCATGAGCTTCAGGCAAATTATTCCAGCCTGATAGGATTTTGTGAGGATATTTCCCCAATGAAAATATATACTATACCGTATGACACATTTCCTGTTGAACGAAATATCCAAATGATCTACAAATGTTGGACCTTAACATTATTTGTTCGGGAGTGGCTCCACAATCATGCTATAATAATCTTTAAGTCCTTCCAATTGACAGCAATTACATCGCTGAATAATTGAGCCACATTCTGCTATATGTTTATTACTGACAGGAGATGTGGAACTTTGTCTCAGTTTTTGTTATTAAACCACAACAATAAATCAACATCATATTATATAAATGCCTTTTCTTTGAAATATGGCCACTAAATGAATACACTAAACCTTTGAGTGTGTACTTATGGTTAACATAGTATGTTTTTGTAAGAAGTATGTTTGACCATAGAAATTGTGGTACTAGACAGTGGACAGTAATAACAAGCATCTGCTAACCCTCCTCAGAATATTTAAAGGACTTACTTTATTGCCATCTGCTGCTTGAAAAGGGAACTTTTACTACCTACACCTAATTCAACATTAAATCAAATCATATCTTCACTGTCCAGGGTATTTTCGCCGATCGCTGGAGTCACAAATAAAGGACAGATATCAAAGCACTGGCTATACAAAACTGACATATCTAAACAATAATAAATGATAGCTTAACATGGATAAGTGGCCATGCTAAACTACAAAGAATAAAATATTGACACTGTCCTACCTTGTTTTTGGTCCTGATGCAGTTGGATGCCGCTCCCTTCCTGTCCCCTCACAGACTGGTGGAGGAGACACGGCAGTACATCCCTGTGTCCACGTGTCCAGAGCAGACCTGGAGACAGCTGGAGTAATGAGCAAGATTTAGGCTGCAAATCCCTGGACTTCCTCATAAGCAGCAGTTGCACTGTCCCCTATATACAAACACACTGAAACACATATAGGTCCTATTATCTATCACTCAGTGATTAAAATATTTTTAGTGTATGTGGACCTAAACATGTATTTAGCCTACTACTGTTTACATAGCAGAAATAATTATCCAAACATTTGGTTTGTAGACAGCCCTGCTCTCTTCACCTCCTGTAAATCAGTGGATTCAAATCAAATGAGCCAGGTGGTTCTACTGTGGTTACATCACTCATCTGTCGATAGCTGTTGTACTAGGGCAGAGCTGAGGAGAGGACAGAGACACAAAGTGCGTGAGTGAGAAGAGAGCAGGCTCTGTTCTACTCTGTTGCCTAGCAACACTAGTTCAGTGCCTCTTCCCATCCTCTGCACACACAACTTTAACGGGAAGTGCTTTGGACACAGGCCTACAGTTAGTGAGGCTGACTTTAACATGTGGATAGATATTTGCCAGATAGATCATGTCTCATGTCCCTTTTCTCAAGAATATTATTATTCTCTGATAAGAAACCTCTTAGTCCTGGTGGCTTGTAGTGTTACATGATAAGAACTCTCCAGTGATGTGTCCATCACGTTGGTAGCCTATTACAATTT